TGAAAATCAGCACAAAAAAAAAGTAAATGAAAAGTCTGAAATAGATGATAGTGATAATTCCAAGAAAAAAGTCAAGAAAGGTGATAAAAAGGAAATTACAGAAAGTTCTCAGGAAGTTAAGTAAACAAGTGGCATTTGCCCTTTAATATTTATGTATGTTTATATTTACATTGTGGATCATATATTTTTTGGACAAACCATAATACCTTTATTGTACTTATAATAGGTGGTGATATAAAAGTAGCAGGTTATCTTAATTTAGCTGCTGATTTTACTCACAATTTCACTGATGGATTAGCAATTGGTGCTTCATACCTGGCTGGAAAAAATGTTGGAATTGTAACCACTATCACAATTCTTTTGCATGAAGTTCCTCATGAAATTGGAGACTTTGCTATTCTAATACAGTCAGGATGCAGTAAGAAGAAAGTATGCATTATATCCAATTGTGAACTATTCTTGCAAACTTAAGTTGGGTTTGTTCTGTACATGAAACTGATGTTTTTAATAAATATTTAAAGTTTTCATTTATTTAATTGTAGGCTATGTACCTGCAATTAACTACAGCTGTAGGTGCTCTTACTGGGACCTTGGTGTCGTTGCTAGCTGAAGGAATTGGTTTGTTGAAATGCTCTTTTCATTACTTTTATTAAGATTAATGCTCAAAAGATGAATATTAAACAATTATTGTGGTAAGAATGGTCACAGAATTTCAGAACTTACGTCACTTTACAAGAGATGCCAGCATACAGTGATTTTTCTTTGCTATTCATTGGCTAATCAGAATTTTGCACTAAAATTTAAGACAAATCGTTAACGCAAATATTATGTAAACGTAAGCTTCCGCGACTCAAGTCTGTCTTCGTGGTAGTCTGGGTGACTCTGTGTCGTTGGCTGAGAGGCCAATATTTGCGTGTCCTGTCAAAACTCAGCCTCTCAGCCAACGATGCGACATCATCTGTACAGCCAAGAAGACAATGCAAATATCATAATACTTATATCAAATTGAATTTTTGAGTCAAGCAATTTATTAATAATTTGTGTGTGATTCTTTTCAGATAGCACTGCCACTTCATGGATTCTTCCTTTTACAGCTGGTGGGTTCATTTATATTGCTACTGTGTCAGTAATTCCAGAACTTCTCTCAGACACAAAATTCTGGCAATCCGTTAAAGAGATAATTGCATTATTAGTAGGAGTGTATATGATGATTCTCATAGCATATTTTGAGTAAGTAGTGTACTATTGTGTGATGTAATAAAATAATAATTTTTTAATGATTTTGCTGTGTAATTCAACCAGTAAAATTATATACTTTGAGATACATACAGTCGAGTCATTTTGATAAGAGAATGTGAAGGCTGTGAAATCTAAATATTTCTTGTCATTCGGCTTGGTTGCCACAGACATCAAAGAGAATAGAGGGCTAGCTGTGCTCTTTGGAACTGGAGTAATTGAGTATTTAATTTCTTGTCATAGGACAGAATAAACCTCTTGTTGTGTGAAAGCTGAAGTTCACATACTTATAACATCACAGGAAATTTTGTTAGGATGAACATTTGATCATAAAATCTATTTCAAGCTGAAGAATTGAATGATTTCCTAGTATTAAGAATTGCTATTTGCACAAGAACTTGCCCAATAAATTCTTTAACTGGATTCATATTGTTCATTTGTCAGGGTGCAAATTGGCAGAGGGGATGGTGGGTTTTAGTAATCTCTGTGTGTTCATGTCTCCTACTACATCAATATTAATTTGTTCAGGGACTGTACATAATTAGATTTATAATTTCCATTACCTAAATCATCAAATTAGGGAAATTAGAAAAACAATATATCAAGGACATTCCACGTGCTCCCTAGAATTCTGGCACCCACCATATCTTCAATTCGCACCTGTCATTTCTGAACATTTTTTTTGTTTTAATGATAGTATAGGTTGGCAGTTGGATAATTAAATGCAATCTTTGTATGTTTTTATCTTAAATAGTGTATTTTGTTGAATTTTTCCCATTGAAACTCCTCGAATGTTAAAGTAAATTAAATAATGGAAAATGATCTTGTGAAGCAAATGTATTAAATTGGACTTGTTCTTTCAATTATTTAGTTGTATCAACCATTCCTTACCATAGAATACTAACAAATTTATAATGTCAATGGCAACTCTGTTTTATTGTTATGAACCAAATGAGTTCATATTTCATTCACCATGAACAAAATGAGTTCAACTTGTAGAGACACAGAGATTATTTTCTAATTCTCAATGTTTACTAGATTGTGTTGGATTGTAGGACCACCCTACATACAAAGTAATAATACATAGCAGAATCTTTCTGACCAGAGATGTTTTCACATCATCTAATGCCTAGGTCCACTAATGGTTGTATGTCCACAAACCTTTCCTTGATGGATGTGATGTGTGTGGTTCAAAGTTTCACTTCTTGAGAGGACATGAAAATGCCTTTTTATGACTAATGTGAAATATTTTTGAGTGCTGAAATTGAAAGATGTTTTATAAAAATGTATTCCTATTTGGTAATAGTGACCAGACATTTTAATAATTTAGTTTTTGCACTTGGTATTACTAATACATTACCATCACTACTTCCTTTTTTTTCTCCATTTAGCTTGGAATCATTTTCACAAGATGGTAAATTTTGTAAATGAAAAAATACATAATCAGTTTGTAGCTAAATATTGTAATGTATTATCGGGGTTTATTAAATACACCATCTTAAACTGCACTTATATTAATTTTGTCTCAATATTTTTTTATGTTGAGTGTCAATTTCTCCAGAGGTGATCCTGTCAATTTATTTATTTGCTTTTGTTTCATGTAATTATTTGCATTACTGGTTTTAATATAATCTTGTACACATTCAGAGAAATTAATTTATTTGAAAGGATCTATATTGTATTGGCTAAATAAGACTAATTACTAATGATATGGCATTATTTTTACATTTGATGTTGAGAATATTATAAAATGTTTCTCCAAGTACTGTATTTAGATGTTTTGTTGTTGTTTTTTAAGTAGTTTTGGATGTTGGCAACTGCTATTTAGAACTTCTGACTGATGTGATGGCAGAAAGTACCCATAAGAAAGGAATAAAAACTAGACAAAGAACATTTGAAAAATGCATTAAACTGTATTACTAAAGTTTCACCCATCCTTCATTAATTACTACATTTTTAAAAAGTAGTGGCAGATGTCCAATATTACTGCAACAGATCTTATTTGGATAAGTGGGAGAAATAATTTTAGATACATTTTGGTGTGATAATATATAAGAAACATTTATTCTTATAAGAATCTCATATACTATTATTATAGTGTATATTTTAGTGTTGCATTCTGTTTTAGAAGATTAGATGCTACAACAGCTAAACTTCTAAATGCTAAATCCGTGGTTGTATTTCTGTTGTATACCTTAACATTTCTTTCTAGATAGTATTTAAAACTCGTAAGTATATACAGAGAGAGAAAATTCTCTTAATGTTTTCATTGTCAAGTAGTTCCTGAGAGATTTAAATGTTAATTTAATAGACTTATCTTCTAAAGTTGAGATAGTTTCCAAAAAATACCATAATTCTGGAAAATGTTAGAATAATTTTTTACCCCCTCTGCTAAAAGTTTTGCCCTCCTGCATTGTAGCGTATCAGACAGTAGAAAATGTTTTTAGAATGAGAGACTACAATTGCAATTAAACCTGGACTTGTATTTGATAAATAATTTTCATTATTAATATTGGAAGTTGTCAAAAAGAAAGACTCTGATTTTGCTTTTCCTTGAAAGAAGTTAAATATAATTTGTGATGCAGGTGAAAATAAATTATTTTTAAAAATGTTTTCACAATTTAGAAAGTTATTGTAATATGAAGACCTTTTTGTTCTTGCTCAAGAGTGTGCATCATGAGAGTTTGGAAATAGGATTTTTACACAAGTGAAAGTAACAATGTGTTTCAGAACACGAGACTACAAATCTGAAAAGAAAGATGTTCCTAAATGGGTATTCAAAGTATATTGATGTATGTGTCAAGGCTAAAATATGGTTAATGTTAGGAGTACTGGGTAAAAAAACACATTAAGGTTATACGGAAAAAGTGGAATGAGTGACGATCATTTCAGGCTTCATACGGCTAATATTGCCATTAGCCTCTGGGTGTCAGCTCAAGTAAAGTGATTGTCCAAGTTTAAGACATCTTGGGTTTGCAAGAAGTATTTTGAAATAAAAATGCATTAGGAATTGTGTTGCACAGCCTCAAGGTTGTTTAATTTAAATCCCAAAGGCCAGAGCTTTCTCATGAAGCCGGAAATGCACAGAGAATAATTAACAAGGTATATAGTGAGGTAAGGTGGTATCATGTATATTGAATTCCGACTGATACAGTCAAAACCATACACTCTGGCCCTCATTAGCCTTAGAAACTGCACAAGCAGTCTGATCCCTTGCTATCTGCTACAATCCAAACTACCCTGTTGGCTAATGGCAACTACATCTGGCTAAAGTCCAACTTCAGGCTTTGCCCTTTCATTTTGGATAATGTGGTTCTAAGTCATCTAAATTAGGGATTAGCCAGATTTGTACTTTATCCATAACATGCATGTAAATGAGAATATATTCAGGACTAAGATGGAAAGTAAGTGGCATGGGAAGTTTGTGTGTAATCATTGCTAATTGTTTTAAATCATCTCTGGCAGTTTTACATCTAAAGTAAAACCTGCAGCATCTTGTATTTTGCAAACTTCAACATTCCTTGTAAATAAATTATATTCTTATGAATTTCAGTACCAATCTCTTTGGTGTAAAGACTGTCGTTTTGAGTATAGAAATAGTTAATTCAATGTGTGTTTTAATGTATAGATAAGAACATGGCTTCCGTAGAGATGTTCAGGTAAATGGAAATTTATTTTTAAATCACTGTATGCTGACATATAATAAATGAGACTGTAAATTCAGAAAATGTGTTATCCTGATTTTCATTAATGAATAGATGAAAGGAAATTGTAATGTGAACCTCGTGTCTTGCTGTGATAGATATAAATCTGACTTTGATAGTGATGGCAGAGGAGTCTTGTTACTCTGGCAGATCCAGGGGGGGGTCGTGGTCTTTCCTCCAAAATGACTAGAGTTTACCTTTCTTTATTTTGCATAATTCCTTTAAATAGTGTTTATTTAGGTTTGAATTATATAAAAACTATATTATTGTGTAATATATCTCAAGTACATAAATAATATACAGTATACTTACAATTAAGTAAGTTTATTATTTAACAAAAATGAACAATCCCCACCCCCAATGATCGGTTGGTGTGTGTCTGTTGCAAAAGGATAAGGATTTGGTGATTTGCTAATTAATTATATGTACAGTGACACTGAAACCTGCTACAGTCCTATTTCGAAGTTAATGCTTTCTCCTTGTGCTAAGAATGGAATTATGTACCATTGCAGAAAGGCCTGTTGAACCCCACCCCCTTTTTTTCTCTCTCTCTCACACACTTACTAATGGAAGAAGAGAAAATATTGTAATCGTGCGCCGGAAAAAAGAAAATTTTCAACACAAAAACTCTTATTGACGTGCAACAGTAAGAAGAAAGTTAAATCCATTTGAGAAAAAAAAGAAAAATCCTTAAAAACCGTTCCAAATTTTGCCTTTAAATTTTCTTCACTTATGTAATAAGGGACAATAAAAAATATGGTGCTAGTCATATTTTCGGGCATTGCTCGATTTTTTGAAAATAAAACAACTTTTAAAATTACAAAACTGAAGATAGAGACTCAGACCTATTAGGCAAAATAACTTATTTAAAAAAAGGTCCTTTTTTTGTAAAAATAGTAGTTTTCACGTAATTTCTGTTTAAAATTAACGAAGCATATATCGGCGTCCCGCCGTTATACATAACGATAACATTGTGATACCGCGAGAACGTATGTGCTGTTGTAGCCTGTGTAATTGTAAATAATGCTTTAATAATAAACAGTGACAGGCATTTTCCATGTGGTTTCAGGTTTCACGAGAGTTAAGTTCATGCGCGTCGTGGATTAACACTATTCAACAGCGAATGTACTCGTGTACCGTTTGGCATAAGATGGAAGAAAGAATTATGAGCCAGAGGCGGCTGCGTAAGCTAGGCTTCGGCCAATATTGCGTGCAATAGTTGTAATATTAAAAAAAAAGATTTTCTCGAAAACGGCTCTAAATTAATTCTTGAAAATTCTGTTAAGGACATTACTAAATGTACTCTAACGCCAAATTGCTCTATTGTTTTGTTGTTTTTTAAACTACAAAACTAATATTTTTGACTTGTTACATCGTTAATATTTACATTAGCGGCGATTTATTAACATTATTATATTTATTAGTACATGTGCTTTAAATAATGACTTATACAGTGTCTCGAAAACTCAACAGTTTTATGTGAATGTGCTCAAATTTCTGCAAATTGAGAAACGCTTAAATGCCATTTTCCCCAAAATTCTTCCATCGGATAGTGCTAATTGTACCGTTTAATATGACATAGAGTTCATCTCGGCGATTCATAGTAAATTAGTAGGCTGTTAGCGCCTAAACCTTGCGTAGGATTTTTTTCCAAACTCGATAACCCCTGGACGATCCACTCGACGCGCTGCGATTTTGATTATTTATTTTTTTTATTTATAATTTGGGAGTTCTATACATAAAGCTCTTGGGACATATTCAAAATTTTTTCATAATTGTGCCATCGATTTTGATCAAATTTTGATGTCGGATAGTCTAAAGGACGTTTAAGACAATGGCGCAGGTCTCATGTTTGTTGAAAAACCTGATTTTTTTTGAAAATTACAAAATTTGGGAACTTCCTACAACTAAAATATTAAAGATAAAGATTTTTCCCTTAATACAATCTGTTCTTTAAAGACAATTTTGAATTTTTCGTGTAATTTTGTGTGAAATATAGGCAATTTTATTTAAACATTTTTCTCAAAAAGGCTCCATCGAATTGGATTAAATTTTATTTTTGGATAGTCTGCAGGGCTTTTAAGAAAATGGTGTAGGTCTCGTATTGATTAAAAACACTGATTTTTCGAAATATAAAAATTTTCAAAATTTGTTCTATTTCTACAACTATAGTTATGAAGAAACAATTTCTTTTATTAATTAAATTTGTTCATCAAAAACAAGTATTTAAATAAGGTCATGTTCGATTTTTCAAAAACATAAGTTTTTTTTTTGCGAAATTTTGTGTTAAACAGGCAATGTTTATTTTTTAAACCATTTTTTTCTTAAAAACAGCGCAAGTATTTTTGCTTAAATTGAAGCCTTTGATAGCATAAAGGACGCTTAAAAAATGGTGCAATGTTCGTTGAAATGCCTGATTTTGCGAAATTAAAAAAAAAGCATTCGAACTCTCCCTACAACCAGTGAAGACAATTCTTTATTTTTTTAATGAAATGTGTTTATCAAGGATAGATCTTCAAATAAAGTCAAGTTCATTTTTTTGAAAATATGAGTTTTTGGGGGTAAATTGGAAGTAAAAATAATGGCCAGCTCCGCAATTTATTGTGCTTCGTGGACGTAATTCCTGACAGTTACTTCGTAAGTTAGAATTTGTATATTATTTCATATATTTTTGTTCGTTTCTTACATTCAACCTTTTGTTATAAATTTACACGTTAATATTTTAGAAATAATTAAAAACCTATTTGAAATACTACTAGCTTTCAGGTAATATCAGATTGGAATGTTCCAACGGCTCGAGAACTCATTTTCATGAATTACGTCTTATTGTTGGGACATGATTTATATGTATGAAAAGCAGTTATAAATGTCAATTTTTTTGTGATTTACATGAAAATAGTTACCAAATTTACAATTTGTAATGAGCAGACAGAGTTGGACAGTAATTACATTCTTGTATTTGAATTAGTACTATTTTAAATACATTCACATGTTCATCCACGCCAGTTGAATGAGTTTTCCTTTGCGGGTTTAATACAGTCCCCAAATTGTGGTTTATTGTCTGATTATTTTGCAATATCAGTCGTTTTAGAAGAAAATTCCAATTCTTTGTGTTAAACATACTTTTTTTGATATCATATTTTGTATATTTAAAAATGTTTTTACGTATGGTTACAATACTTCTGTTCAGAAATTTGTATGACTGTCAATTACTAGTTCACTGCAATTGACAAAATATTGACGCAATAAAATATATAATGCAACATTAGAATATATTGATAGTTTTTTAGTACAATGTACTTCCAGTAATTAATTCTTAAATGTTGAAAAATGTAATCGTAAAAGTCCTCTGCAAAATAGTCGTAGTTAGCCCGAAGACAGCCGTTCGCTCGTTTCTATAGAAGATCGGAAGGGAACCGCGCAAGTCGGCAACACCGTACGCGTAGTGCGCTTCATTCAAATCGAGCTAAATTGTTTCACACTTCCCCAGGTGTACTGGGAGAAATGGAAAGATCCACACTCCTGGAAAATCTTACCTTTGACATTAACCAGATTTTTAGCGAAGCTGAAATTTAGTGGATATAATAAAAAATTATTTTTTTCTGGATATAAATTAGAATCTAGAACAATTGTGAATTTTTACAACTTTCGAAAAATAAGAGTTTTTTAACGAAAACGAGGCCTGCACTATTCGCATAAATGCCCTTCACACTATCGAACAAAAAATGTAAATAAAAAAGGAGCTATTTTTACTTTCCCCTATATATACGTACATATATATAGTATAAAGAAAGTTATGTAATTATTCCTAGCTGTTCGCGGTGACGCCGCGTCCATGGGCGAGGGTGCCGACGTTCTTCGGTCGCCATTCTGCGACCTTTTCATGGGGGATAATATGGACGCGGCTCACCCGGACAGCCTTAATAAATTACAGGACTCCGGCGCGCGAAGCTACGCTCCTCAAGTTATTAATGCTGTGGAATATCGATTTCCTGAGATTTTTTCAAGCGAAATACCGTTTTGGGGTCCCAGATAACGAAAAATTTGTTTGTTTCTTTTTCTTCTCAGAACGGTCCGTCTTGTGTCCTGTGACACTTACAAGCACCTAAACCTGCTGGATCTATCAAAATTGGAAGAACTACCTTTTCATCTGGCTCGGCCCGAAACAGCATACATAACTTGAGATTTTGAAAAACTTTCGTCAAAATTTGGGATACTTAGCCCTCTAAACATTTTCAAAATGTTCTCAAAAAACGGCTCCAAATTTTTTCTTTAAATCTCCTGTAAAAATAGAGTAACATACACTTATAAACATGGCATAGGTCTGATTTTCACGGTAACCTTTGAAGTTTTGAAAATTTCAAATGTAAGAATTTTTTCCAGGATCTTCCTAAACTACAACATTGAAGATACTGATACTTTCCTTTTATATAAAATTTGTTCTACATAGTGAGTTCTTTCATCAAGGTCATGTACTTTTTTCTGAAAATTTTAGTAGTTTTCGCGCAATATTGTCTGCAATTTAAAAAAATCACAAAAACAAGATTTTCTCAAAAAGGCTCAAATTTTTTTTCTCTACCCTTTTGGTAGCGATAGTGCTAAATGCACTCTTATTAAATGCCACAAATGACATATTTGTATTGTGTATTTTAAAAAAGAATAGTGCAATATGTTTTACTCGTCTCTCGTCGTTAATATTTACATTAGCGGTAATTTCTTTACTGAATGTATTTATAAGTAAATGTGATAAAGATGTGAAAATAATGCGAGAAAGTTTCCCGGTAAACCCAACAGTTTTCCACGAAAATGAGCTCAAAAGTACGCATTCTCAAAATCACCATTTTCTCAAAAACGTCTCCACATTTTTTCTTAAAAGTTTCCCAACAGATAGTGCTATTTGTACTGTTTAAGATGACATAGAATTATTTTTTCTGTATTCTTTTGTTTTTTTCTAAAGTTACACAAATATAATTTTTTTGAAATATCTCACATTACTTAAATTACACATTTCCAGCGATTTGTAAACACTATTACATTTGTGACTGGAAGTGCTTGAAATGACGTCATATGAAGTTTTTCGAAAACATATAGTTTTCTGTGAAAATAGGGACAGATTTGGAATTTTCAAAAAAATGTACTTTGGGCGGCAATAGATGGCAGCTGGCAAGAGTGTGTAGCAAGTGCGAAAAGCTAGCCGAAACAAACGGAAATAGAAAACTGAAAACGGAATAGAAACGAGAAAGTCAGAGCCAAACGGAACTCTCTTCTCTTTCGAATCGCCGACTAGTGAGCTTCTCGTGCGGACACGTTAAGGCCTATTCACAATTCAATCATAAACAAAAGCATGGCGTTAACATAAAAGTTAGGACTACGTCCATAAGTGGACTCATTCGCATAAGCATAACACGAAAGACTTTAACTTAAAAGATTGCAAGCTTTTAAGCTTCTGTGCTTATGCTTAAGTAAGACGTAAGAAATGAAGGGAGAGCGTAGGCTTCCGCGGCCGGAGTCCGTGTTTACTAGGCTGTCCGGGTGACGCCGCGTCCATGACGAAGGTGCCGAGGTTTCGGTCGCCATTCTGTGACCTTCCTCAGTGCGTAATGCGATCAGAGCATTACACTGCGATTTTCGCATCTCTCTCCCTGGCAGGTATCAGCTGTTGACAGTTTCATTCAGCCGGGCGCTTGAACGTCACCATAGTGCAATCGTCACTTGTTGAGATAAATCAGAAAGCATTTAAGTTGGAAATTCTTAAAATAAGAAGCAAGAAAAATATTACACCAGTCGATGGGGAAGCTCTGAATAATAAAAATTATAGAACAGAGCAAGAAAAGAGAAGCACTAGAAGTATGTGATCATACTAACAGAATCCTATTAGTTTTTTTGGCCCACATCACTGAATCATGAAGCAAGTCATCATTGGCCCTTGCCCTTGCTGTCATCTCATGAAGAGTTGATGTAGTTGCCAGAGACCTTGCAGATGACGGTGCACGATCCCTCTGTAATGTTTCACAGAGTTTGTAACTTTCTTGTGAATTGATATGAGACTAACTAGTTTCCATTTCCTCCATAACCTTCAATTGAATAATTAAAAATATATCAAAGAGATCTGAATACAACATCATTCAAAAAAATTTATTAATAAAATGTTAGAAGTAAAATTTACAGTATTACAAAGAAATTGACACATTAGAAGAGACAATGTACAACAATCATTAAAAATATTTAAATAATTAAAATATAATAGTAATAAATTATGTCCTAAACATATATTCTTAAAAATGTTCAACTAATTTTAATTTTCATACACACTGAAATATGATTTTTTAAGATTTCATGAAGTAATTAATGACCCAAAAACAATTCATGAAAATCAACAGTCTTGTTCTTCAAGAGACTATAATTTATTACTAAAATACATAAAAAAAGCACTTGGGCAATAAAATTTAATTAGGAAATTTGTCTAAAATCAAATGAAATCGGAGAAATCTACTTAAACCAATATTGATCCTGAAAATAAAGGGGAATGATGTTCAGTGCTTTTTTACTACAAGTGCATAGAAATATTTTTTTCTTTTCAGTGTAACACTATTTTTTTAATAAAATTGATTAAGAAAATAATCTCATAGAAAAACCTCTAGCTGCACTGGAGTAAGTACTTTTTTAAAAGAATTTTTCACTTAAAATACACATAAATTATAGAGTGCACAATGACAGAAAAAGAAATAAACTAGGAAAGTAACTAATGTTCCTAAAACAAAAAATTAATAACATTTTACATCAATTCGCTTGTTGTATTGCAACAGAAAACACATTTAATTCAAGATTTTGTTTTGAAATAGGAAAGCTCTGAACGTATAATTTATGTGGTCTCCACTACTTCTCTTTAAAAACTTCAAGAGACTTCCAACCGAGGAGGGAAAATATCTTTGATTAGAAAATACAGCTTTGATAATACAGCTAAAAAAGCTTTGATTAGAAATACAGTGCATTTCTTAAAAAATTATTCAAATATGAAACAATAAATAAACATGGGAATAACTCATTCAGAGATGAAATTCCAATTTTTTTTATGAGTTTAATTTACAATTTTCTGAAATCAATGATTTATTTCTTTAGCGTCCAAAATTATGCACTCCTAGCAACTACATATAATCTTTACTTAAGAATTAATACAAATGAATGTGTTCTTTAAGAATTACAGAAATGTTTTTAAACATTACACAATGAATCACAGTAACTTTTTCTTATTTCATATCCAATAGCAGCTCCCATTGGAGGCGGTACTGCATTCCCAACCTAAAACATTATTATAAAAAAAAAGTCATTGAAAGGTACGATCTGAAACTAGTTGCATTATCCAAGCAATTATTCCAGAAAGTTGCAATTAAAGAATAGCACTACTTTGGAAAAACAGGACAACAAATTGTCACTACATCAATGGGTAAAACAACAAAACTATATATCTACTTTTAAATGGAAGCTATTTGAAAAGAGAATTATTAGGTGCCTACAACTTAATGAATTGTCACCAGGATAATAATAGATAAATGATGAAGTGAGAAACAAACTCACTAAGCACTTAGACAATATTTTATTGCAAAACATTTTGATCCATAAACATGTTTGAAAGATTATAAATTTCCTTCCCTTTTATTGTTTTGATGGATGTAAGAAAATTTTGTATCAATTTTATGAAGGAAAAATATCTAAAAATAGTATAATGTAGTTGATTCAACAGACTACAACTAGCTTAACTTGTTTCAAGCAACTTGAAGAATTAATGAAGTCCTCCTGATATAATTCTTCGAACTTGCAAATAACCTTTTGTTCAAATCAACATGTGAATGAACATTCTAGGGACAAAAGTAAGAAATGCGCAACCTTGGTATGAATGTAAATTTTTGGAACCTGATCACCACCATTTTTATTAAAGACAGTGGCTGTAATATGTATGACCTCTCGTTTATAGAGAACAAAGAAAAATAAACAAGGTGAATTGGAATCTCTTTTCATGATTAATCCAATCAGAAATGTGTGCTGAAAAGGAAATGTAGGAAAACTGAAAAACTATTTCCCAAAAGATATATAACAAATTCAATTAATGTATTCCAAAAATATTAACAAAATGCATTAAATGCATTGCATCAGTTCATGCTATAAGTTCTACTCTCACGTTTCTTATTTGTGTTACTATTGAACCATAGTATTTACAGTTTAAACAAAATGTTTATGCATATCTCTAATAGATCATCAATGTTTAATTATCAGAGAAGTGCATAAATATATTTTCTATTTTAAAAATCTCAAATTATTTGCGCATCAACAACTCCATTTTCGTGGCAGATTTATGGTTCAATTAGTTATAAATTCATAGGGTTATTCAATGAAAACTCAACCTCTAAAATTTTCTAATCCAAACAGTTTAAGATATTGAGATGAAATTTTCACCAAACAATTTAGGTCATAAGGCTTGACATTATTAGCTTTTTGACAGCATTTTTTTATTTTGAATATTTTGAACAATTTTTTTTTCAAGTAACACTATACTTTATTATTATTATTATTATTATTTGTATCGTAAGTGGTTCTCCATTTTCTAATGGTTATTCAATACCAGACTGCATGCAGAGAAATGTGTTATCAAAATCAACAAATATTTCATTAAATATATATTAATCTAACAAAATACAAAAATTAATCCCAAAAATTGATAGATATTATTGCTACACAAAGTTTATCTGTTATTCATGAAAAATGCAATAAAAACAGCTTTTAAATTTGACAAAAGATAGTGGTTTAAGTTTGCAGACTCTCAGTCCGCACATATGTACTTGCGTCACAAAAACAACAAGTGTAACGGAGGGTTAATGAAATTGATAAATGAACATTAACGTGGAGGATGCAGAGAATGATGATTTGGAGGAATGTGCAGGATTCTGCTCACTCAACGATGAACAAACATAGGCATGCTTCAAGTTAGACAGCTGTATTCTAAGGTGTAAAATTGTACATCTGTGCAGGATGTTCGAGGAGGAAACATCAAAGCTTCAAAAATAAGCTCTTAGGACATTTTAAAGCATATTTAGTGAAATTAACTCCTTGGATATTCCGAATAGCTGAGCTGTAAGAAGCACTCAAAAGTTGGTTTCAAAAAATGCTTCCTAGGCAAAAGGTGGCATTGTAGAAGCATATAAATACTCCAGAAACATGTAAATTGTTTATTATTAGAAAGTTTATTAAAGTTATTATTAGAAGTTTATTAAAAGAAATGAATATATTTTTCCAGAAAGAAAAAATGAACCCAAAAATTAAAATCTTAACATTTACGAGATTGCTCCTCTGTATAGTTCTTGATCCTAGCCAATTGGCAGTTTTTTTTCTATTTTTACAAAAAAAAGCTTTTAAGCCATTAAGTTATTTTAATGTTATTATACTTAGCATTTCCTTTCTAATATGACATATTTCATCAAAAGGCAAGGCGTTTCTATAATGTTCGAAATTCTGCTTGAAAAGTGTGTTATTTAGGGGGAAAGGAAAAAAAATAGTAGCAGAAAGAAAATCACCCTTCAACTATTCCATAGCATCTTATATAACAATAATTATTACACAGAAACATATGTTACTTTTCCATTATTTTATTGGAATCAGCAGTGATATAAAAATATACATTTTTGGGACAGGACTGTTTTTAGGCTCTAATTTTGCAAATTCATGTCAGACATCTTTCAACAGCAACTCTCAGGTGTTTCAGGCACAAATATAAAATGTAAACAAACATATCTTAGTTAGTTGTGGATAGTTTTCTAAATACTTGAAACACTACTGCTACACAAATGAGCGTTGCTTGACTAAACCTCCCAGTTTCCATAGCACCAGCCTTGAAACACAATGAGTGGCTCTCGGGCTTCGTCAGCCCAGCATGGCACGCATGCCAAAGTGCTTGTGTAGAAAGAGTTGATGTTATTTTACTCTTCATGAAGGAATCATTTCACCTCATTTAATGTTTTCTTATATCAATAGCTTAAACTGTCAAATTAATTCAGGTAGTGAGTAAATTTAAATTTTAAAAATAACTTCTATTTTACATTTTTATTGAATTAATAAACAATAAATTGTTTAGATGGTAAATGAAAACAATGACTTTTCAAATGAAAACCAACTGCATTATTATACAAGCAACAAACAAGTGACAAGCAACTCTTAAAAACTACTGAGATAAAAAGAGGACTATTTTCTATAAAGTTGAAAAAGGTACATTAAAAATCAAATTAGAACAAGGTTTTGAGCTTCTATGATTAACTGTAAAAACAAATTAGTGAATACAGGTAGAAAAATAAAGAAATGACAGAAAATCTCACCTGTCGATGTTTGTCTAAAATATTTCCAAAGAACCTGTAGGTGTCTGGGAAACCTTGTGATCGCGCACACTCTCTTACACTCACCACCCTTATTTGTTCTGGATGTAAAACTCGACCCTGAAAAAAAAAAAAAAAAAAAAAAAATAGGATTCAGAAAGATATAATAATGATATTACCAAAAGCATATTATTGTATTAGCAATTACCTAACACAAACACTCACTTAAGTTTATTTCTTTAGTTTACCTGCTTTCCCATTGGTTCAGGATTTGTAACAGTAGTGCTGAAGAATCCATCCCATTCTAGGCGACCATACAACCCTGCCCAGTGATTATGTCTGTTACCAGTATGTGGTAAACACCATGGAATCAATGTGTTGTATTGTCTATCCATAGGGTCACAAGCTTTCCCTGAGCCTGTAGCACATATACACACCCCACGAAGGGCTCCTGTTGATGATTTACCATTCTTTTTGTCATGGTGTGTGTATTGGCTGGGAGTAAATGAAATAGTAATAATTAAAACATAATTGAAAACAAAACAAACCTTTTTTTTTTTGCAAGTTATGTTTAAGTGCAAATTATATATTAAATATTATTCACACCGATTCAGGCATAATATGTGTATTACTGCTTGTAAATTAATTAAATAAATGAATTATGAAGGTATTGCCCAACTCAGCAGTCTGGTAAACCAGGTCACAAAGAGACATTCCAAGTCTTCATAAAACAATTGTATTTTTTTTTCTGAACTCTTTTTTTTCTATCTTTCCAATTTATTAAAATTTTTGTCTGACATAAAAATTGCCATATTTGATCAACTGAAAGCAAGGATTTGTATTACAACTGCATTGAAATAAAATTGTTTTTTGTTACTTTATATGGTAACATACCATGTGATTTTAACACAATCTTGCAACTAAAACTCAAAAATAAATTAATATCATTGAAAACAGGATATTGCAATTTTGAACAAACAATTAGAAGGCTAGTGAGCATAAAATGATAAATGATAGATAGAAAAATCTTTCAATTTTTTTGAACATATGTTCAAAACGATTCCACCATATACAGACAAATACATCTCTAAGCATGTCTGGAAAGATTTATTAACTAATAGCAGTGCTCCATCTTTCTCTTCTGAACAAGCAGCTACAATGCACTTATGCATATCTTCTTCTGTAGTTAGAGCCTCTAGGTACACACAGTTTTTAAGAACACTCCAAAGAAAAAAAAGCTAGGTGACAAGTTTGGGGAACATGCACACTAGAATAGTGATTTTTAATAAGAATATCGCAACTATGCTTCACAATTTATTCTGCTTTTAAGATTCCTTTAATATAGCACCATTTATTACAGGGATCTTACTGATTTGAAGTAAAAATCACAATTCAAATTTATTCATTCAATTTCATTTCAAATTCATTTGATACTTATGACAAAAAAATCAGAAAATATGGAAGGTTAAAAAGCAGAGTTCTTAAACAAGCTGCGTCAAGTCTTGAAATTTGTTTTGTATTTTCAAACACTGTGACCAACATCCCAAAGTACATTTACTGAACACATATTAGCAGTGTGGCTCTGTATGACCTTGACTACTGGGCTGGTGTGTTATGCAAAATTTCCATTAATTGCAAAGTCACAAATAACTCAAGCAACATTAACTTGTAATTGTAAATAACCCAAACTTCATTACAAACTGTAATAAATGTGTGTCTTCAACCATTCAAAAATGACAAGTGCTAAAGTAATGTGACCTGTAGACAAGTACCTTGACACATTGTATCTTTACAATGTATTTTTTTAGTAACAAACTTACAGTTTTTTACTGAATGTTCCATCACTGAGACGGACTGCAATATTGGGGAGATCTCTCCAGTCAGATCCAGAGACAGTTGGAATATGAGCCATACGGGCTTCAACAAGAGGAGCCATATCCTTGCATATATGATCTCTCAATATTGGTTGATATTGATTTCCTCTCATCTAGACAAAAGTAAGAAACATTGCAAACAGGATACACTTGACAAGTTAATGATAAATAAAATGGAAATATAGAATAGAAACATTATTCACAAAAATGAATTCGGACCAAAATTCCTGACATAAATCAATTGACAAAGAACTCACCACACGTTGGAAGCAAGACATAGGTTCACCTCCATATGACATTTCATCCTTACGATGACCATTTCTTATTTCTGGCAAATCTGACATGGCATCACGAACAGTAATAGTACGATATGGAGCAGATTCCAGCCATTGACAATTGGAGACATACTGAAACAAAGAGTGTGACAAAAAAAATTATTTGATTTACCTGAACATGCTTAAGTTTAAAGTCCAAAAGAAAACAAAGATATTACAAGTTGATGTTCTTCTTTCTAATTAGAAGGATCTCTAAAAATTGAAATGGATCAAGAACTATTGATTCAGTAACATGCAACCAAAATTGAATTCATATCTCAAAATCTTCTATTAAAGAATGGCAAGTGGAAAAAGTAAAATTAATGTTTCTCTAATAGTTTTGTGCCAGACATTTATTGACAATCAACCATGCAATTAAAAATTCGAATATTTCTTACAATTATCCAACTTTGTTTGGAAATTATGATATAATTTTAGTTATTTTGCTTCTTCAGGAGGATAAAACTTCACAACTTAATTAATATATTGGCTGTTTAAATAACAGAAGTGTTGGAACAATGTTCAAAATGGAAAAAGGAATAATATAATAAATAGATCTCAGAATTTTAGGTACGAAAAAAGTGATGATTTAAGCATCTAAAATAGGTAACAAAATTATAAAATTAGGCACTATTTTGCGTGAAAAGCGATGATTCAGGCACTTCAATTAGGTTACAAAATGATTAAACCAAGCATTTAACAAACATTAGAAATGAAAAGTTATGTTTCTGACATGTAAAACTAATCACAAAAGGATTAATTTATACAATTTTTATAATAAAGGAAAGTCAAGTATTTTCACATTTATGAAAGCGACTACAAGCATATTTTTTTATTTCTTTTCATTTTGTCCATTCTTTCACACTTTTGATTCTCAACCTGTCAACAGCGCACTTACACCCGTATTGGTGTTCAATTGCTTAAGTGCTAGCTGATCAGAGATGAGTATGAAATATGGTCATTATATAGACTTGCAGAACTCCTTATGTTTGGTGTGTTGGGTGAGAGATTTTGGCACGTAATCAATTGCGTATTTGATCATGGAATATTCGCATTTTGGGAAATTCAGGAAAGTATTTGCTTTTTGGTTTGAAAATGAGTAATTAAAATATGATAATTTTTGAAAATTACTTGTTTCAGGCAAAAAATATTAAAATAGGCATTAATTGCCCTTTTAGGACATATTTGTATCATTCAACTGATTTAGGCAAAATATATACACATGTTCTACAAACCTGAGGCCAAAACAACTCCACACTGTTTGCAAGGCATAACTAAATTTTGAAAACTGTCAAAAGTGGAAAATGTATCATCTACATGAGGGCTGTCCAACTGGTGGCTCGCATGCAACCCGCAAAAGGTTAATTGGTAAAACTGCAAAGTCCCTTTAGGTCCATGTAGGACAAAAAAATTGTTAGCCAAGCGCATGTGCCCTGCTGGGGTCAGAATTACTTTTAATGTAAAAATAGGTTAAGTGAAGATATAAGGACTTTTTCTAGTAAATTCAGAAATTTAAAATCATCCCAATGTGTTTCACAGCATTGTGCATGATATAGCCTGGTATTACTTATGGTTCAATCCCCTCCATTAATGAAATATGGCCTGCGACCATATGACAGGTTTTAGTTGTGGCCCTTGACACCCCCCGTTCTACATAATGAAATATGCCATAGATGTAAGACAAGGTATAACCTTTCAGTGTCATAATCTTGCAGACAAAAATGTAAGAACTATGACTCACTAAACAACTGCATAGTTCAAATCCTTGATGCAAAATACTGATAAATGATCAACAACAAATTCTGTGAATGTGAATTCTATCAACAAAACATCCACATGAAAAAACATTCCCATACATCCTTCGTAATCTTCCATAATAAACAGTATGGCAATAAATTTCATAGAACCACAGATGAATGATGGCACAATAGTAATTTAATTTACAAATTTGTCTTCTTTAGTATTAGTAAATACTAGATGGACCGAACATTCCACACTTGTAAACCATTGTTTTGAAGTGCTAAAAAATAGCTTTATTCTGGATCTCAACTTGGAACGGACATGCCCTTATCCTATGTTAAAGCATTATACACTTGGTGAGCCAGGCTTATTGACACACCAATTAACTTTTTCATAGATTTTGACTTGTTTCGGACCAACCCCACATGCTACAGAGAGTGTACCTAAGAGAGCTAAATATCCTAACATCTAAAAGAAGGTTTAAAATGATCTCCTTTTCTTAGAGCATGAAAAACATAATTTGTGCCCCAAAGAAAAACACAAAAATCTATTTAAGGCCACAGAATGTATCATTTGTAAATGTGGTAATGAATGCATCATAGTAAAGTGTGGAGCAGGCTGCATGCACATTATAATTTTAACACTTAATTACACTAATATTAGTGGTCTGCAAAACAATTTTAGTTACCATCGACTGTGGCCCACACAAATTCCTTTCAAACATTTATTCTTTTCTAATGGCTCTACTTCGGCTTGAAAAGCGATCTTTCAAATACATATGTAGGATTAACAATCATAGAGCTATTTTCCACATGTTTTGTTGTACTAACTATACATGGAATCAGGGCAATTCCAAAGCTCTTACACGTTTGGTGACTGCCGATGTCACTTACAATTGTTGAAGTTGCTACTTGAAAGATGAACATCATTTGTATCATTTGTGCACTACTTCTACTACATCAATTAAGTTAAACTTGCATAAAATAAACAGAATTCAATATTCCCATATCATTTATTGCAAATATAAACATACCTTTCCAATTTTGTGAATTTTAAACTTGCACTTGGCTGAAAAGCCATATGTGAAGCAAAAAGATATTAAAAATAATGTATATAACTTACTTTTTTATCGTCAATCATACAACTAAGCTGGGAAGCACGAAGGCTAAATACGTGTGTTGGCTCTGGATATTTTGGAAGTTTGAGACCTGGTGCTGCAGCAATAATAATTAGCCTGAAAAAATGATCAAGCTTGTATGAAAAGAAAACATGTAAAATATAAATATAACCCTCTGCAGTTATGAATAATAACTGAATAATAATAAGGAATTCAAGTCTATGAAGATATTCTGTGATGTGATGGTTATACATCAAAACAAAAGAAGTGAATGTATTCGATTTTTTCCCTAAAAATGTGCTTAATTCGAAGGAATTACCTTTTTGAGTAAGGATCAAAATAATGAACATACCAAAATGAAATATCCAATTTTTAAAGCCACTAGGCATTTAAGTAACCTTACCTGAGACACTCTCACAACTTAGCCCTTCAAACGTCATGCACTTTGATTAGGAATACTTTGTTTGACTAATGAGGTTAATATCTACCACCAGAAATGAAGATTCTTGAATATGTTACCTTGTCTTTGCAATATACTTTGTTACTCAATGGGCAATAAAGGAGATCTACAAAGCTATTCAAAATAATATTGATTTCCATAGTCAGAGCAACTGAACTAGGAAGCCAGATAGCTTTGAACAATTTTATTATTACACACACTTAGGGAAAATTTCATAGAGCATGTTAACATTTAAAACTAGTGGGGCATACTTTCACACATTATTTGTAACTTTCACAATTTTTGAAATTTCGAAGTGTTGAAAGAAAACCAGACTTGCATGAATTTTATAAGCGTACTTTACTCTAAAAGAGCGAAAAGTTTAATGAAAAAATTTGGGAGTCATTTTCGACAAAATTTTGAAAATACTGTTGAGGCTCCATAAAATACCTACAAAAAGAAAATATCAATTTCAAATTTGCAGGGCTTCAAAATCGGCCAGATCGATCAGTGTAGTCAATTTTAGAGAACATTGTCAGAACAGTTTAGTCAGAAGTGTTCACCATGGACAGAAGGGCAAACAGGATGGAAGGAGAACATGGTACCGAGTACAACAGGATTCAACTCTAGAACCTACAGATAACAAGAAATAAAAGAAACATTTATAAACAACATGAAATTAACTCAACAGAATGAAGGGACATGAAAAAGCTGTCATCAAAAGCATAATGCGCCAACAGTTACTGATACACAATCATCAGCAATGGTGAAAAAAAATTTACTAACAAACCCACACAGGTAACTGCAGGTGAGCCAAAAGGTCTCATATTCTAACAGAAACTTGGAGAGGTTCAGTGGCTCTTGTGCAACCAGAAAAATGAAAGCGACTATGAAACAACAAAACACACAGCAATCTTCAACAGCTGATTAGATCATAAGACAAAAGAAACCTTATGTGACCACATCATTAATCACGCTTGAAAACCAGAAAATGTCAAATTAAAAATTAAGTTAAGTACATGTGCATCCTTCCATGTATGTACACCTTCCAGAATATTTTTTACAGGAAATAAATAACCGGAGGTCTGTATTGTTTCAGAATATTTTCAAAAATCCACAGATCTTCAGATTGATAATTGAACAATCCCCAACTGTGAAACCTGACTAGCAAATTGCACTATAAAACATTCCTGTAGAAACAAGACATACTGGATGTGAAGATACTGAGCCTTCCTGTTTTTTTTAATGAATGTGACAGGACTGATGTGGAAAAGGGATAATGAGACTTGACATTGTGGTGACTAGGGCACCCTGTGGTGGTGTATTTGGTACCCCCACAAATAAGGGGTTGTCCATAAATTACGTAACGCTAAAGAGGTGGGGGGGAGTGGGTTTGAGACAACGTTTCGCTGCGTTACATACGCGCAGGGGATGTTCAATTAGTGTTACGTAACATTGATATTCTTTTTAACATTTTTCAAAATTTATTGAAATACTTCCTTTTTTTATACTAATTCATTAAAATATTATAATTAATTTATTTTAAAAAATAAATAATTTAAAGTAATTAGAAGTTGATACAATAAATGGAAATATTTTTGCATCAATTTTGTATTTCAACTGTAAGATTAGGAAGAAAATATTCAAAACTGATCTGTAGTATTTTGTAGAATACAATTAAACTGGCGCAGTAGATTCTCGCACATGCGCCATCCAAAACGGTGGCATGTGCACGGTTAATGATCAGAAATTTTCTCACCTGTGGGTTATTCCTACACTCAAAATTTGCTCCAGTCTTATTGTTAGATGTAGTAATTATCATAAATTTTAATATCCCCCTCCAATAAAAATGAATTCAATTTTTTACTTTGTTACATTTATTTTCACTTACTGCCTTTATAAGGAGGGGGGTGTTACATGCATTACGTAATTATTTAGGGGGAGTTTAATCACACATTACGTGTGTGCTACATGGGGGAGAGGGGGTATTCAAAATACTACAAATTTGTGTTACGTCATTTATGGATGGCCCCTAAAGAGAATTTGTGTCTAGACATTGAAAATTATACAATGGTTAGTTGTGACACAGTGCAGGCGCACAGGAGGTACGGTGAGGGCATTTGTTAAAATATATCTCAGTTATATTTATTTATTTTTTACAATAGAAGTTGAGTAGGTTACCTCAATTAAATGACTATCAGAAAAAAGAACAGTTTTCAATAATTCATGGTGTTAATTTTGATATGCTTAATTAGATAATTGATGGAGTCAACGAATATTTCAATTTCAGAATCACAATGAGCAAAATTATTAGTTAGCTTCATTATTTGAAACAATTTTGTTTAATGTAAATGCCAATTATTAGTTATAGGATTATAAAAAACCCTGTGAGAGCGAGACATAAATTGTGGAACAAATAGTGAAAACTGACACAACAGATCTGGAGCATGTACAATTTCCTGAATAATCTTAATTAAAATAATATCAAAATCTGTTGCATATTTCTTCTATTTTCAAGAATATAAAGGTTGAATCTGTTAAATTCACTGTCAAATCTACAAGGGGGATAACATTCTGTTCCTTTATATTCTAAGTATTTCACAAAATGTTTTTTGACACGATTCAAACACAAGTTATGAAGGATAAAATGGAATTCTGGCTGATGGCAATAGTAGAAAAAATACGAATAGTAGTGAAACAGTATCTGCAGATCACCAAGTAAAATGCTAAAAACTCAATTGATTCTCTATCTAATGGGACACTCCATGGCATAAGCAGTGCAGTGCAGTAAGGGATATATTACCAATTTTGCATGCTCTACTAAAAAAAATAATTAAATTTTGCTGCTGGCTGAGATTTGGTGCTCTGGCGAAGACTATGAGAGTGTGGGCTTAGAGTGTTGTATTTTTGAAATTTTTTCGCATTGTCACTGCTAGCAAATAATCCTACGCCTTGAATGCCAAGTGTGATAGTGCTATGTAGTTAAGATTGAGCGAGTTCCTTGGTGTGTCTCACAAGAAATGTTTACAACGGTGCATGAATATCTCGTGTTAAATATCCTTGATGTCAGAACAGCTCAACAGGAGTAGTTGATTTTCAATGTGTTACATGAAACCATGAAGGTTAATATTATTATTGTGATGTAATAATTAGGTGGAAATGAATGCTACAAATGTATGTCAAATACAGTGCTGTATAATGTAGAACGTAAAATTACAGTTTCATTTGTCGCCTTGCTCTTGGAATTTTTCATCTGCAAAATAAATGCGCTGTTCGTTCTCACTGAAATTGATGTGCATACCCCTGGGGGTGTGCAAGGTTTAGAAAAAATGTTAAGGTTTCCCTTTGTTAACGCAGATATATGCAATACCTACAATTGATGTACCCAACAACTGGTTTGTTGCCGAAGTGCCATGCCATAGCATGAACTGAACAAATGGTTTGTGGATGAGGCCAACACTTTTTATCCAGATAATGGAGCTCCAATCCAACTGCACACCAACACAAGACCTTTACTTAGTATAACCATCTTTGCCAACAGTGAATGTAAAATCTGACTTGACTATTAACTTTTCCTCTTAAGGGGTGATTGTACTAAAATCGTATCATTCCAACAAATCTACAAACATATCAGGAAATTCTTCCAAAATTAGGTTTCATGCATTCTTTAACCTAATTTAATTGATGTACATCAGACAAATACTGGATTAAAATATGTTTGATATATCGATTATATATTCCACATTAAGAAGATCTTGTAAATTTTTAAAATACATTATCATGGTTAATTCCATAACAGTATTCAAGCAAAATTCAATAGACACAAGAAAAGATTCCAGGCAGCAACTCTTAGAGATTTCAATTGATAAATTACTATTTTATAGAATTGTAGACCAGTTTATTTCAGGTCCATAACTCTTCATAACATTTTCCTGATTTTCAAAGACATAAAATACACAGTGGCACTTTCTATTCTGAGCTTAGAGCTGGCAGAAGATGTTAGAATGAAAAAAAATTGTCAATTTTCATTATTGTGTAAGTTTGTACTCACTACAACCACATTAGTAAAGTTTCCCCTTTAAATGTTTTGCTTTTAAATGAATAAGATAAGGGGGAAATGAACATGGAAAAATCGATATAAATAAATATATCGAGTGAAGAAAAATATTGTACAACCAGTTTATAATGAAAGTCCTACCGTCGTCTTGTCTGTGGTACACCATAGTTTCCAGCTTGCAGAACTCCAAATGTGCATTGATATCCCATTCGTATCAGACATCGCAGAGTTAACTTAAGTATAATACTTCGTTTGAAAGACACAAAATTCCTTACATTTTCCAAAATGAAGTATTTTGGACGATAATAATCACAGAAAGAAAGATACGACACAATGAGAGAATTCTGAAATGAAAATTACTTTTAGATTGTAAATTCAGAAAATAAAATGCATTTACAAAGTTAGAAAAAATTATAACATCTAAGAATTCATTTAAATTACCTTAAATTTTGAATATTCTCTAGAATTGAACCTGTTCATACCACTGAATCCTTGACAAGGTGGTCCACCGCACAACAAATCTACGTCACCTTTCTTAGGTAATGTCTGACCTTTCTCATTCGTTTTTTCACCCTGAAAAAAAAAGAAAGAAAATAACACATAAAATACAATGGCATACAAGGGTACTCTTGGATGTCTGGTAGCACTGCATCTTTCAGTCACAATTTTGGTTATATAGTGACATACATGCATTAGTCATGATGGAAGATTGCAGAACTGTGAATTTTCAGGCCAAATAAATTGCACTTTTATGTGAAATGACTGCACAAGTTCCTACATTGCAAATAGATTTAACTTTAGCAAACTTGTTACTTATTTATATCATTTATATATTTGTTAATTCATGTATCATATTTATTTCATTATTACATAGAAAACTGTATGTTATAATGTTTTTTAAATTTTTACTTCCTACTTTATCTGTCATGATGGTTACTCATTTCCTGGATCAAATTTCCCTGAATGCACAGTTTTCCATGGCATTTGTTTTATTTTTCAATGGTAAGATTTGTAGTTTTTCAAACTATTTTTTAAAATATATTAAAGGAAGCCTGACACTGTCTCATAATTTGTTTGCCCTGTGATTTCATAGTGACAAAATACACCTTAAAAAAAATTACTCAACAAATAAAAATTGAATCACTAATTTTTTTATGGAATAATATCTAGTTATATAATTGTATTAGAATTTTGTAATATTTGTAATTGTATTATTGAAACATTGTATTATTATTTTTTGACTGGTTATAACATAATTTTCAAAATACAGTACAAATGAAATGATTTTATAACTAGTTTTAGAGAGTTGTCTCTGTAAGATGAACAATTTTTGGCATTGCTAGACAGCCAAGATGTTGTGATGAGTAATTTAGAACCATCATAAAGAAACTAAAAATCACCTAGAATTAAATATTAAGTTCCATTGCAAAAATGGCTAGAAAGTGACAAAAGAACTATGTAAAGAGGCAAATCGATGGTGAATATTGAGAAAATGATTAAAAGAGACAGAGATAGGTGATGACTAGACCTCGAATTTTCGCAACAAAGAAGTGATGATTTAGACACCTCTAATAGGGGAAAAAATTATGTAATTAGGCATGAAAAGTAACATTTTAGGCACTTCAAATACGTTACAAAATTATTAAACCACATATTTAAAAAATCAGACAGAGAAATACACATGAAAAGACATGTTTCTGGCATCTAAAACTGATCACAAAAGTATTTACATTTGCGAGAGTGGCTACAAGCACTATTTAATTCACTAAATAAAAAAATTTAAAAAAAAGAAAGGGGGGGGGGGCGGCTTAACAGCTATTTTAGGACATTTGAGACAATATTGGTAGTTGATCTATTTTTTCATAATTCATAAACATCTTCAATTATTTTCCACAACCTCTTAAAGGAACTAAATAGGCATTTACCCTAAAATCCAAGGTCCGGTGGTCAGGAGTGAAATAAAATAAGAACTAATACATATTTTAGAAATAGGAGACTTGCGAGATATTTTTGTATATGAGAAAGAATACATGTTAAAATGAAATTACTGATTGTCAAAAACAATGGAGTGAGTGTTGGGAAAGATGAGCCAATAGGATTAAAAGAGGAGAGGACAAATGAACATTGTGCACAGGAAGAACTAACAAGAAACACTTTTGTGAACTTTTTTAAGTCAGAGAAGAAGGTAGTTGTAAAACTATTAGTGAGAACAAGAGAATAATAGTAGTGCTGGCAATGAATAGTTGCCTGTAAATAATGTACATAGTTGCAATATGATGTTTCTATAGATTTTATTCAGTTTGAAGTTAGTATTCGAACAATGGGAGAAGAAAAGAAAGAAAAGGAAAGGAAAGTGAAGAAAGAAAAAATGTAATAGGCAACATTTTGGGTGGAATTCGGTATTCGAAAATTAGACCATGAAAAAGGATGCAAGATAGCGGGACAAAGAAAAAGCATGGTAATTGGAACAGTTTTATCTCTAGCAGTCCAGAGGGCAGTTCGACCACAAACAAGAAGTGAAAGACATTCATATTGCAGAAAGATGACGTTTTGTGCCATTATTATTAGGAGCTGGAGCACCCAGAGAAATCCAGGGGTTTTGTTCTATGGAGGTCCCTCATTTCCAACAAAAAATTCCCTTCTCCCCCAATTCATAATTAATAAGGTGAATACATTTTTTATTTAAGTCCGGGTCTGGGGCAAGTCATCCCAACTGCCCAATAGTATTAAATTTAGCACCATGCAAGGTGTGATAGGAAAGGAATGAATGTGTGAAACTTATTAAATATTTTAATGAAACTAATGTTTTATGTTATTAAAGTGTATTTATTTATTGTGTTTGAGGTTACTGTATGTTGTGTTTAGTATTAGTGCTGAACAGAGGAGCTATAGTAAATCAGATGGAGAGCAAGGATGTTCCACGTTGTAGTATGATGAATTTCAAATTATTGTAAATATTCACAAAAACAATTGTAGTGTTATCATTTTGAGTGAGAGAATACCACATTAATATCCTTGCCAATTAATATCCTCACATCCTGAGTTTCTGTGTAGACAAGTTCTGTCGACCTACGAATATAAATTTTTAAGATCTCTATGATGTCAGTTTCCAATTATCATCATGAACAGCAGGATAGTAGGTCTGGGGCCTGTTCCTGTTAAAAGGCAGTAGATCTGGTGATTATACCCCAGATATTCCTGAGCAATGCTTTCTTTGTTCGGTCATCCTATATTTCTTCGCCCTGTGGGTTTATACTTTAAAACTGCTTTAGGAAATCTTTCCACTCTCATTCTTCACATACGTAAAAGCCATTTTCTCTGGTTCTCTTTTATGTTTCATCCACTATATTTTTTATTTTGAGTTTTTTTCCTGATTTCAGTGCTTCTTTGTCGATCTAAACATGTAATACCTACCAGATGCTAAAAAAGTCCCAATTGTCTGGCTTCTATTCTCTGACAGTCTTTTTGTTTTAGGGTCAATATTTCTGATCAATACATTAACATTGACTTAGATGTTATGTGGGTATATGTTGTGTCCAAATAGATACATTTAATTAAATGTTAATGAGATATATGGTCTAGTAAAGTAAATCATAATATTAACAATTTAAAATAATAAAGTAAGTGCAGTAGCACAGGTCTCAATATGAAATAAAAAACACTAGTGTGTATAAATTCAAAGTAAAACAAATTCAATGAAATGCTTACGTTTAGAACTAGTTTCAGCAACATGTTGCAATCATCTGTAAACACAGTGCATTCTGGATTGTTCAACTTGAAAGCATTTGCTGCAGATTCTTCTTTCTCTATGGCCCAACGTGTTTCTGCTAAGCCAGCCTGATGTAAACCTTCTGAAAGACCTGGAGAAACAGTATTCCCATGAATATAATCAAAGCCTTTCTCAGCATTTTTCCGACATGCATGCAGATTTTGAAAACTGAGAATGATGAAATTAAAACATGCCAAGAAAATACAATATCTAAATCTAATAATATCTAATATAAATTTAATATCTTAAATCACAAAAGAAAAAAAATTGGACTAAGAAAACTAAATGCTGAAAATTATTCTTTATCAATTTCTAAATTTAAAAAAAACCCTTGCATTACACTTTTACACAGTGGGCAGAAATTGTAAATATATTTACAGTTTTTTTCCCACAATTAGGAAGCAATGGGTACTGACCTCCACAACCTGCAAAAACATCCAAAGTTTTCAGTTTCTTTGATAATGTAGGCCATTCCTCAGGGCCTAGGATGGTTTTCTTTTCTCCTAATTCAGACTTTCTTCCCTTTCCTTTTCCTTTTCCCTTGCCCTGAACAATACAATGGATTTGCAATAATTATTTCACATTAATTATCATCACAAGACACAAGACAACTGCCAAGACAAAAGTATAATGTAAGTTTATTTAAAAAAATAAAAAACATTGTGAACAAGAGCATGGCATACATGATAAAAAAAAGTAATTATGTTTTATGAAATACACCCTCACCCACAATAGGAGAATGATTTATTTTACTCCTCCTTTCAATGTAAATTTGTTTTTCTTTGTGCGAGATCTAGTAATTCTCCATTGTCAAATGCAAAAGTTTTTAGCATTTCCCATTCTCTCTTTTAATTTCGCAGATAACATCATTAATTTGAATGTAATTATGAGGTAGTGCTTAAATTAATCAATAGTTTCCACTTTAATACAATTTACTGGAAGAGAGTACCGTGTATTGACAATCATGGTACTCTACGTAATTGAAATTCACTAATGCTCGGAAATCAAAAATTCAATGATTCTTTTCCAAAACTTCCAGATTGAAGAACTTCCAGAAACAGATTTTTTTAAGTCTATTGCAATTTTGTCCCCACTAATTCCCTTTATCCATCCATTGTAAATACTCTTCGTAGAGTTTGTCTTATTTCGCAAATTAAGCGTAGTCCATTTGAATTTAGGTTTTTGCATTGCCTTTCCATATTAACAAACTAGTAAATTTGGTGTAACAGTAAGCTTCAAAGGCAATAAAAATATCACACTTATCTTTAGTATGTAATTATATTCGCAATCATATTTTTGGGAACCACTGTGAATTTGCCCGGCAATTCAGGTCGATATTTTTGAATGGGCTCAAAAATAGAGAATCAAACACATGACATTGTAATGAGTGAAGCGTAATATACCAAGATCGTATTACACAATGTGGGTTAAGGGATTGACAAGGCTACACAGACTCTCAGTTCGATGCCCAGGAAGTGTAAATCTGTGTTTTGCAAGTGAGCAAATGAAAAAACTTATATTGATAGAAGAGTACAAGCTTTCTACATCCAACCACAGAAAAGAATGATGAACAATTTTTTTTTCTGCACAAAATCTTCCCAAACTTGAAACCTTGCTGCTATCTTCAACAATACCGGTGATCGGAGAACATGTATTAACAACTCAATCACACCATCCTTAAACAATTTGAATTTCATGTATTTTTGTAAAAGAATGTGGAAGAACTGTAAGAGAATTTCGAGGCCAAAAATAAAGAGTGAGACAGGTAGAATATCTGGTGACTAAGAAGAAAACTTTCTTAGGTGGCATCATTTGAAAGACCACTACACAAATTCACCTACGAAAACTTTCAGAGGGGCCTAAAAAGTAGAGAGCATTTCAGAGGACGAAAAAGAAACGGAGACACATGTAAAAGAAGAAGATGAAGAGGGTAGTGACAAAAAACATGATTACGAGTTTTAAGGAACAAGAAAATAGTGCTAGTTCAGGCATAATTTATACCATTCTCATTAACAAGACAACTTTCTTGTCAATTTGACAAATTGCAATTTTATTTTGACTAAATACTAAGAATTAGTTAAAAATAAAAATTCTCAGGAGGCCCCTTCAAAATTAGGAGCTCATCTTATATTCAGAGTTGACTTGATAAATAGAGTACTATTTAAAATGACCTCTATTTGCTGACGCTAAATACTATTTGCAACTCCCAGGCATTGTTTGGATTTTGTAAATATTGGTAAGTTTCATCCTACTACATATTCATCAAAATTTCTAACACGAATTGAAAATTATTCATAAAAAACGAAGCTAAGAGTTTCTACAACCACAGTTTCAACAGATAACTCATACACCAGTAGGCACTGCAAGAGAGCAGCAGAAAATAACTCATACTTGTATAATAGATGCATTCTGCAAGTCATCCCAAAGGAACACATACAATGAGGAAGTTATCCAGGTAAAACTACCTGCATTGAGGGGTTATAGAATGTTGGGTTTGTTTACATTGAGTCAGACAAAACCTACTCAAGGAGAATACAGACAAAATTCTGGATACAAAAAATGCTAAGATTGTTAATGTACAGTCTTTCTGCCATTTCTCTTACCTTCCCTTGACTACCCAAAAGAGAAGCCTGAACAGGTGGTTCTCCAAATGACTGTTTCATACTGTTATAAGCTTGATTAAAGTAAAATCTGTTGGGGCCTCTCTTTGTCCATTCAATAATAGGTTCATCAATATTCTCACCATAGACCACATAACAAGTGCCCACCACATCAGGTAAGATAATGTCCACCTCTATAGAATAAAATTTGTATGTCAGAATCCATGTATTATGAAGAATTGAAACAAAGAACTTAAAAACATGTTCTGTACAAACCTTCATCTGACCAATACAGCATGTTTAGATCAGCCTGATATGACAAAGATGCTCCTTTGTGTGTATCCTCAGGCCGATAAAATTTTTTCACTCTTAAATAAATATCATTTGGCATTGGAAACTCATGACCACCTTTTGCAACAACAGCTACAACATAGCCAATTGAAAATGGTTTAGGTGTTTCCTCATTAGATCCTTTAACTGGTCCATCGGATTTTCGATAATATTCTGGATACATATCTTCATCCTTAGCCTTCAACAATCAGTCTGTGTTAGATTTATTTCAAAATATTCTTATTACACACTTTTATTTAATAAGCATGTTCGTTGATACTAATTATTTGAAAAATTATAAAATTTTGTTTCATTTGAACACGTTCATTCTATGTTACCTTCTCTTCTTTCCCCCGTGCACTTTTCAAGGCTACTGCTCCATGAGTAGATTTGAAAGAGAAAGCATTGGGCTGCAAGTACACAGACAAACCTGGACAAAATTCTTTTCCCATATACTGCAATGAAGAATACAGCACCTGCAAAATATCAATTATTCTTTTTTGTAAAATACTACATGTATGGAATCACATTAAATTAGCATTACAGACAACCTTCCATGCATCATTCTCGTTGACATTTTTTTAGAAATTTTCTCAAGTATTCTTTCACCCCTAAAAATTCTTCCCTCTTCATTGTATGTGTAACCAGCATCTCCAACTAATTTTGATTGTAATTTCTTTAAATGTTAATAAATAATGTATATAAAATTATTACAAATGGTTTATGCTGTTATATAATTTATTTTATTTATAAATGAGAGAGGGGAGGGGATGTTGCAAGCACTTCATAAATATTTAGGAGGTTTGAATCTTGCATTACAGGAGGGAGGAGGTAACCAAAATACTCCACATTGGTAATTTATGGACGACCCCACTGGGGTTCATGTAAATGTACCCAGCATTTCATGTAGCATGAAATTTTATAAGAATGCAATGTGAAAACAAAATACAAAAAATTATTGAAACCAAGATTTCGTATTAGCTATAGTTACAAGGGTAAGATTACACACAACAAGAAATGCACATTCTTATCTGATAAACCAAACTATTTCAGTATTAATTACATAAACATACCTCGTCATTAATTTGATCACTAATCCTCTCACCTAGAATAGGTGTTTTAAACCTCCTAGCGTTAACTTGTTTCCAGCAAGTACCACAAAACCTAAAATAAGTCACATTTATGAGAAGGAACATAAATCAAAAATTGAGAACAAAATGCATAAATACATACTGTTTCTTCTTGTTTCCAGCTGCTTCTTTTGGATCTTCAAACCTGACAGTTCTGGGATCATACCTACAATTTAATAATTCAAGTTAAATGTCTTTTCAATTGCAATGAACATTATGTTACACAATACTGGTCACACTACCATTTATGATAATAAAAAGATTTCCCATCATCAGGTAGATTTAAATCATTCTCTATTTTCTCCCCACCAACATTGTGCCAATTCTCTGGAGTCTCTCGAAATCGTACACTGGCTTTGTGAGCAATACTTCCGATAGGAAAATTTTCACACACATCTACCAAAAACAACTCTTGAGGGTCAGCAGTTTCACCAAGTATTGAGTCTGTTGCACGGCTAAAAATATCATCAAAAATAAAATTAATATTTTCTGTTCAACGAAAAATTTCAAACCTAAAATAATAGGTACATTCTTTACATATCTAAGAACTTACCAAAACAACTGCCCATGAAAATTTTTATTACCCTTTTTATCTTCAAACATAAATTCAATGCGGGCAATATTGAATGGAGTTCCTGTTTCTGGAGGTTCTATCATTACATAGTCTCCTTCTCTGAATTCTGACCCGTCAATATTAACAGATCTGAAAAGAATATTTTTGACACAAAATGTAAAGTACTGTAATTGTAAGCCATAATTAGCAATTTTTTTGCTAGAAAAAATGTATTGCTGGGCATTGGTGAAGAAAAAGTGAATAAATTTTGTTCATATATGTAGTAAATTATGCCCCTCACATGCTATGTAGCTATGAATTCATGTTTTGTGGCTCTGCGATACCAAAAATTCAATTCCAGCAAAATTGTTTGCTTATCTGTCTGCCCATTCATCCACCTATCCGTGGCCAATGCTAGGACCTAAACTGTTCAGACAATTTTCTCAACGATTGATGTTCCCCAATCCATATGAACGAATCTAACATTCTGCAAGTTTGAAGAAGATATTTTAATATTTGGGGATATGTTACATGAAGCCTCGACATTTTCACTTTCTTTTTTTCAAAAATAATTTTAAGTATTAGGATTAAAACTTATCATCAGATAGCAAAAAGGGCTCTTCAAAGAATAGCGCAGGTCTAATTTTTGTTAAAATCCCTGACTTTTCGAAAATTTAAAAATTCAAAACTTTTTTGCTTCATCCAACAACTACAATAATGAGAATAAAGATTTCTTTCCTTAATGAAATGTGTTGTTCAATGACTAATCTTTAAATAAGACCACGTATAATTTTTCAAAAACATGAATAGTTTTCATGTAAATTTGCATGAAATGCAGACAATTTCTGAACATTTATTTTTCAACAAAATATTTACTTTCCAAAATCAGCTCCAAAATTTTTCTTCCTCGCATACTACTTATGCAGTATAGAGAAAGTATCGTAATGCTACAGGAATTAGTGGTCCTACAACAGCATGTACTTCCTTGCATCAGTAATGAATAAGTAAAATTATAAAACCACAATTTCTGTATATATTTATGAGTCTGTGTTATTACTTCTAAAACTTATTACCAATCGCAGTGCATAGGTGCAAAAAATTGATTCATTTCACCCTACTCTGGTCAGGAACGGCAGATTCTACTCATCCTCTCATTGTTTTGCCAATAATTTAGGAACTATCTGATGTTTTTTAGTAATTTTTGTTTTAAATTCTTCATAGTACTATTCTACGACTTTTTTGGCAAGATTTCAAAATTTTTAAATTGAAAATGGCATTGTGGCATCCATTTTGTGTAACATGAAAGGTAAGAGAGTTTTTAATTTTGGTTATTAGAAGAAAATTATTGAATTTATATTCAGATGAAATAAATGTACTAATTTTTTATCTCTCTACCAAAATAAATTAATTTCAAAATAGATAATTTTTTATTTCCAAAATAAACTACTTTTAATACACATACATGCGTACATTCCTACATGGCATATGTCTGAATATATATATTTAGAAAAATCAAAGCTTGAAAATTTCAAAATAGCATATTTATTTATTTCCAGATCTCAGAAGAGTGAATAAAAATATATTATGCAATGGAAGTAATTGATGATTTATTTTTCATTTTTTCATTTGCCATTTCATCTAATTTGACTAAATACTTCATGAGATACATCAGGTTTTAGTTATAATACCTAATACCTTCAAAAAATTCAAAATGACTAGCAAGAGCCATATTGGAAAAACAATTTAGTTAAAAATTGTTGAAATATGTTCTAAATTTATTATGAAAGTATTGTAATTTTATTTTTAAAATAAAAAGAGATGATTACGATAGATAGATAGAGAGAGATAGAGAGATTAGATAGAGAGAGTAGAGAGATAGATAGAGAGAGAAGAGAGGAGAGAGATCGTTAGAGAGAGACTAGATAGAGAGAGAGCGAGTAGAGAGAGAGATAGAGAGCAGTAGAGAGAGAGAGAGATAGAGAGGAGAGAGAGAGAGAGAGAGAGAGGAGAGAGAGAGAGAGATAGAGATAGAGAGAGAGAGAGATACATATATACATTTGAGGGTGCAATACTGTCCTAACCCACAAATTTTATTTTTTTTTAAATTGTACATAATCTTTTTAAAAGACTGTTTTTAGAATGGATTTAATTAAAGAGAAAACCTTTTTTATCAATGACATTCTTTTGTTACGTTAATTCTTTGCAATGTTTGGTAATAAGTGTTCACTGAAAATGGGATCAGCACCCATTTTTAAACCATCCTTTGCTACATACGAGAAAACAATTTTGAGCCATTTTTGAGATATTAAGTGTTTAATTTGCCATTATATTATGCAAAATTACATGAAGAGTACTAATATTTTTGAAAAATAGTACAGGACCTTATATCTTTGAACAAAAGATATCGTTAAGAAAAAAATCTTCATTGTAATGTGATTTTCTTTACATTTATTTACACGAATAGAGCAAAAGAGACAGAAATGGCAAGACAAGAGAAAGTAGCATTTTCTTTGAACACTAAATTTTTTAAAAAATAGCAAAATTTCAATTTTTTATTATTTTATTTATTTATTTTTAGGTTCTTTGTACAACCTCATTATTCATATTAGAATTTTGTTCCTTAATGAAATCTGAATATTAACAATACATTTTAAAATAAGGCCCAGTACAACTTTTAAACAATTATTTTCTTAAAAACTCCTTCAAATTTTTTCCTCATAAGTAGCAAAGACTGTAAAGACATTGGAGCTGGTCCCCTTTCAGGCAAATATACTGTATTTTTGAAAATGGCAAAAAAATTAGCTGTTTTTTTGTTAGATAATTGTAATTTTTTAAATTGAATAATTTGCATATTCCTCATTCCTTTTCCTAGAATCTTTCAGAGTTACTATGTAGCAATTCAACAATGTGCATGTGTCATGGCAGTTTAAAATTCTCAGAATAACTTCTCATTGATGGGTGGCGTTACTGGGTGCATGGAACAGTTTTGCATTGTCAAATTTGTGTAGATATATAACCGATAAATTAGTTAAATATTCATGCCCAATGTTCTATAACGAATAAAGAGTTTTACAAGTGATGGCTAAGAAATGCAGTGTTATAACATTATGTAATTGTTACTGCTCGGTATTTTAATATTAAGTAATCAAGAAACTTTACACTCTTGTAGAATCACTACTTTCTTTAAATTTTCTCCTATCTATCAAAGGTTCCCCTTTTTCAGCTAACTCTCTGTATTTTCGAAAGTTGCCAAAAAGTAACATTCCATAAGTACAATATTAAAGAGGAAAATTTTTGTCTTAAATAAAATCTGTTCTTAAAAGTAGATATTTAACAAAGGTTATGTACATTTTTTAAAGGGTTGATTTCACATAAATTTTGCTTGAAGTTAATGAAATTTATAAACATTATTTATTTCAAATATTGCTCCAATTTTTTTCTTTAAAATTTAACAGAGCAAAGGATGTTAAAAAGAAATACTACAGGTTTAATATTCATTTAATTCTCTGAATTTCTAAAAATTGCAAACTAGGAGGAGCCAAATAATGCGAGAAAGTATGTGCTGCTGGAGCTCCAATAGTTTTGATTGAGTTAGGCCAAAATTATTCCCACATTTATGACCAAACATGAGTGTTACATACGTGTAATATATTTTTGCAGCATCTGATGTAGAAGAACCAATCCATGATATTTTATCTTTTCCAACACGCATTCGAAATTTTTTGAAAATGGAAAAGACCTTCTGTTCCTCTACATCATTATTTGCAGGAACATTAGTTTCATCATCTAAATCATCATCCTCGGCTTCTGCAATTGCCATATTTGGACATCTGTAAATAAAGAGTTAATATAACAATATCCACAGACACTTTAAAAAATATATTTTACATCAATCACAATTCATAAAAATCAGTTGCTTAACCCTTTACGCTCCTATGTTACATAGGACTCGACAGCAAATAATGTTTTTTACATTCTGATGTCAAGTCCCACTCGCCAGGACTCTTCTGTTTGTTTGCATCATCCAATGCTTTTTAGGTCATTGCAGTAGGAAACAGTTATCTGTTGTACAAAGATTACTAATACACCAACATTATCAATGTTCCTAAGCCACATGTTCCTAAAATTCATTATCGATATCCCTTGAGGTTGATCTTCAGTCACTAATCTTAAGACATTTGCTCAATCAATTTTCAGTTATCTCTGTGAATTTTCAAATAGATTATGAAACGGCTTATGAGTAGACAAAAACCATGGGAAATACTAGAAGAGGAAAAAGTTCCAAATCAGTTATTCAATGCAACACAAAGTCTCTACAAGAACTCAAGAATTCAAGTACTGTTAAGAGGGGGGGGGGAGGGGGGCAGCAATAACAACCAACAGTGCCTCAAGGCAAGGAAGTGGATTATCACCCATCCTCTTCAACATATATATTAATCACTCAGTGAGAAACTGGAGAAAGAAAGTTAGACAAGAAATACAGATGTTGGCTGGGCTAACCGGGACAAGCCAACATAAACTCCGGCCGCGGAAGCCTACGCAACCAAGAAATACAGATCACAAAAGTCAAGAAGATAGATACAATCTGGTACGCTGATGACCAAACTATCATAATGGGCTCTGAAAATAATTTACAAAGAGCAGTGTTTGAACTGACAAAAGTGGCCCAAGAATATCTATGAAGATAGCAATTCAGAAAACAAAATTTTATGGTAATACAAGGCAAGGGACAAAGGAGAGCCAAAATAGTAGAAAATGGAAAATTAGTGAAACAAGTAAATACATTTTCATACCTTGGAAATATCAAAAGTGTATACAACCAAACTCAGGAAGACATAGAAAACAAACTTAATAACTACAATAGAATATGTGGAACAATCGTGAGACACTTTGGCAGAGACATGGACCCAGAAACAAAACTGAAACTCCACAATATAGCTGCTAAATCTAGAATCTAGTATGGATCTGAAACACGGGTAATGAATAAAAAAAAAAAAAAAAAAAAAAAAAAAAAAAAAAAAAAAAAAAAAAAAAAAAAAAAAAAAAAAAAAAAAAAAAAAAAACAAAAAAAAAAAAAAAAAAAAAGGGGACAAACAAAAACTACAGCGGAACACATGAGATTTCTAAGACACCTCATGGGAATCATAAGAAGACACAGACTAAGAAATAAAGACATTAGAAAGAATTTAAAACCAAATGTTTAGTAGAAGAGATAGAACAGTCTCAAAGGAGATGGAAAGATCATTTACAGAGAATGAACAACACATTTCCAAAATTAATCTGGGAAGTACGAACCAACACGGATCAGAGATAGAGGCAGACCACTAAAGAGGTGGCAACAGCAGGAACACTTGGAAGACTAAGATTTACCAAGACTAATGTAATAAACAATAGAAACAGGCTGTAGACCTTAATTTCTGCTCACTTCATTATGATGATTTTCAAATATTTTAGGCAAGTTACACAGCAATGATATCCTTCAATTATACATCATCCACCATAAAAAAAAGGCATTTTGTTGGCGATTTCCATACGTTCAGATACACAATCCATTTACAGGTGTTTAGAGATAAGAAATGACTTTGAACAAAATTTCAAAAACATTACAAGAAGTTGATCAGACTTGTTATGCTTGACTCACATTGGTGTATGCTGTCAAATGATTTGGTTTAATCTAATATAAAAAAATCAATATTTGTTTGTTCATATATTATGTGCTGCCTTACCATTCATCTGCTTGAGATATTGATTTTTATGTGTTTATGCAGACTCAAGGGCCCCTGAACAGATGCTCTACGCAACTAGCCGCTCCCTCAAGTCGGTCTTCGCTGCATATTCTGCCCCTGCGATACTTGTACTTTATCTCAGATAAGTAAATCAAATTTCTCCCAGACAGTGTCTTAGCGAATGCATGCCCACACTTGAGGGAGAATGTTTTAACAATAAAATACTTGACAACCATGTCCAAACTACGACATAGAAAAACCCATACTCATGACAAAGTTTTTCATCTATTAAAACTTTTGCTGAGCATAGCATAAAACATTATTATAAATCATGAGGCCAATAGTGTGTAAAGTGTAATACATTGCAATAGCAAAGCATCGCCTACCCCAATAGTTTAAAATAAAATTTCGTACATATATCTTTAATGTATTATGCTTATCTAATGAAATACCTCAGACCAATCTATAGTCTCCAAGTCTTTGTTAATGTCTCAGTGTCCCTTGTCAGGTGTGGTGGTGTTTTTCGGAAGCTCTTCAAAAGTGAAAGGCATGGGGTGAAGCTTAGCGGTCTATCGGGCATGTGTTGGTACTTATGCGGCGCGCTTACCACGCGTTAGTGTTGGCTGGCAACCAGGCCAGGCGAATTACGGCGTATTCAGGTGATGCTTCTGTGTGCTAGTGTTATTCCATCATTATTGGTTATTGGTGGACTAGAAATGAATCCCGGACCTGGAATGGAGGCAGCGAATGTTGAATGTAACAAATACAATCGAAGCGACAGACTAATCCACAAACTAGAAGGGGAACTTTCGGAACTGCAGAAGTTGGAGATTTTGTTGCAAAAAAACAATCAATTGGAAAAAGGTGCTACAAGTGTTGAAGTGTCACCGAAGCCAGTTGAGGTAACAACTGAGGAGTGTTTGAGCGGCAACATAAAAATCGAAGCATTTATTCAAACAGGAAATGAAGAATCAGGCACAATAGTGAGCGAGGAAGTGAGGGAGGCAACTGATGAGGCAGATAGTGTTGCAGCTGATTCCATGCTTGTAATTGGTACGACACGTGGGGGAAGGAAAACAAAATGAAAGTGAAGTGTTTACTGGGTATTCGTGCGGATCAATTACGAAGATATATCGAAAGAAAAGATCTGGGTATTGCTGAAACTGTTGTTCTTCATGTAGGAACAAACAACTTAAAAGGAAATAGGCAGAACATAATGCGCGATGTGTACGAACTTGTCGCGGCAGCGCCACAGAAGTTTCCTGCAGCCAATATTGTGAGAGGAAATGAGATACACTGAGAAGAAATGATATCTTCTGGCGTCACATTGCAGAAATTAATGGTATATACGAGTAGGTGGCGGAACGTCTTGATGTGACATTCGTACACGTGAATTTCTGGATTCGTAACGATCCGCGTGAGGCTTTTGGTCGCCACAGCGATTTTGGCGGGCTGCATCTAAATTGGAAGGGTGCAAAAAATCTTGGGAGCCTGTTCTCTGGAGTATGCGATGCCAAAACCCGATTGCACAGTTGAGGTTCGTCAGCGGCGGTCGCAGCAGCGACAGAAATTGTGGGTGGGGTGGAGCAACTGAGACAGTAGCGAAGGAGGACCGAAATCGAGAGAGAAGGGCAACTGTGAAAGGAAACGACGAAGAGTATTCCTCGACTCCAGAATTCAGCGTCGGCAGCGGCAACGGGCGTGAACAAGTCGACTGAGCAGGACTTCAGCGAAACAGAGACGGTGGTAATGGTACGGAAACGACTCGGCAGCGCGGAATGCAGTCGACGTTGAGACTACTGTCGAGTACGAAGCGGTGAGTACGGCACGTGAACACCACGCCGGTGTGGTGCTAAAGGACCAGGAAGACAGGAATGGGGCGGAGCAACTACACAGCGGCGGCGGCTCAGCGGCAGATACGACGACGACGACGACGACGACGGCGGCGGGGACGGCGAAATCGGCGGACACGACGGCGGAGGCGACGGCGGAGACGACGGCGGAGACGACGGCGGGCACGACGGCGGACACGACTTCGAGGGACGCGCCTTCTCGCGAATACATTCAGGTGAGGAAAGGGTTTTCAAGGTTGTTGCAGGTAAACTGTCGAAGCATAATCAATAAAGAAACAGAGTTTTGGAATCTAGTTGATGCCTGTGATCCCTACATAATGATAGGGACTAAGACATGGCTAACCGAGGAAATGGGTCCTCTGAAATTTTTGATTCTCATTACAAGATCTTCAGGAGAGATAGAAATGGTAGAGGAGGCGGTGTTTTTATTTGCGTCAAAGTAGACATGGATATTAGATTAGATTGGGTCAGTAGAGAGTTTGAAAGGATGGGAATAGAAATTATTACTTCAGGAACCATATTAGAAATCATTACATGCTATAGGCCTCCAAGCGACGGTTTTGACATCTTAGATGACATCATTCAAAAAACAGGAAACAAGAATGACCATTCCATTGTTATTGGAGGTGACTTAAATATTCATAGCGCAAAATGGGAGGGAACCGTGAGCGATGGGAAAGTCCAAGTCTAGTTTGGGTCAGGGGATTAACTCAGGTAGTTCAGAACGGGACGCGGCAGGATGCGATTTTGGATGTTTACTTAATTAAGCCGAAATAACTTTTCATATCTTGTGAAGTTGTTGAGGGCATTAGCGACCATAAAGCAGTTCTTCTCGACTTTAGACGAAAATATTTCAAGGAAAGGTATCATGATAGGAACTAAGGTACGGCAACACAAGAAAGCAAATGTAGACGGGCCTCAAGGTTTTTTTAGGGAACAATACAATCGCTTTCTGAGAACCGAAGGAGGTATGGAAGAAATATGGGGCATGTTCAAAGATACTATACCCAAAGCTTTGCAAAGGTAACGAGAATGGCATTCAATAACAGAAAACGCAGTAGCGAACATATGAATATTTTTTAAAATCATTCAAAAGAATTGGAGTGAGAGAAGAAAATTGCCCAGGAAGCATATTTAAAGAATATTCTAGATGGGAAGGGAAATAACTGGACAGAATTTTATAAATATGTTCTTAGAGGGAAAGGAAATAAAGAGGATATCCCAGTTGTTCGTGAGAATGGAAACATGCTCATTACTAACGATCGGGCAAAAGCTAATGTGTTTAATAAGTATTTCAGTTCGGTTTTCAAAAGCAATACAAACCATTCATTAATTCAGGGGTTCTTCGGTTACAAAGCAGTTTAATATTGAAGTAAACGTTCTACAGAATAAGGTAATATCTATGAAAAATGATCAAGGGGTCCAGATGACATTTCTATTAACAAAATTAAACTAGGAGAAGAGGCAATATTACCATACCTAATTATAATATTTCACATATCCATGAACAATTTCACATATCCATGAACAAGTACCTGAAGATTGAAAATTAACTTTAGTCCTACCAATTTTTAAAAGTGGTGACAAAACTATATTAAGTAATTGTTGGCCGGTAAGTCTTACATCAGTGGTCTGTAAAATTATGGGGTATCTAGTTGCCAGTTACATTAAGCAAAAATGGGATATCAAAAATTGGCTCTTTGATGGCCAACGCAGCTTCAGAAGTGGTTATTCATGTGAAAGCCAGGTAGCCAAGCTATTTCAGGATCTAGCCGATGAAATTGACGTGGGCGGGAGAGTAGACGCAATAGTTATAGATTTTGCCAAAGCATTTGATGTCGTTCCCCACGATCGGCTTGTACATAAATTAATGAATTCAGTCATAGATTTCAGGGCTGTGGCGTGGATTAGCGAGTTTCTACGAGACAGAAAAGAGAAAGTCTGAATTGGTCATGAGTTTTCTACTGGGGTAAGCATTACATCAGGAATACTGCATGGGAGTGTCATTGGACCTCTTCTATTTCTAGCGTTCATCAATGATCTGCCAGCACCCTTAATATCAAATTTTCGGCTATTTGAAGACAATTGCATAATACATTGTCGTATGAATTCAAAAGAAGACAAAGAAATGTTGCAACGGAATCTTGATGTGTTACATTGCTGGGCGGAAAATAATGGAATGACCATAAATAGCTCCAAAAGCAAATCCATCACTTTTGGCAGGGGTCATAATTATAGAGAAACAAATGACCATTTAAATAAAGACATTATTCCGAGAGTTTCCTCACGCAAGTACCTAGAAATCCATTTCCATTTCCGATAATGGGATATGGAGCAATTTGTTGGGATCTGCACAAAATTATGCAGTGTAAAAATTTAGAAAGAATTCAGCGTAGGACAGCTAAATTTACTTTCAGGGACAAGAAAATGGCAAAATCGGATTCACTCGAAAATAGGCGATCAGTAGCAGTCATCCAGCTTGGAAAGAAATTAATCGGTGGCTAAGTATTCCTACATACATCAGTAGGGGAGATCACAGGCACAAAATATATTTAAGACCGTAGAGAACAGGTGTGGGGAAATTTTCTTTTACAAATCGAACGATAAAAAATGGAATAGATTGCCTGCAAAACCTTGAACCCCTTCTTCGTCGCGTTCAACAGTTTAGGAAATTAACTTTAGGTATTACTAAATAAACGAGGGACTTATACATAGAGCTATGAGCAAGTAATATATTATGAAGTGAGGTGTCATGCAGTGTAGAACAGAGAAATAATGTAAGAAGTGATTAAAGGGTCATAGTGAAGTAAAGTGAACAAAAATTCAGAGCGAAGTTAGATTATAGATGTTTCTTTCTTTAAGGTAATTCAAATGTTTTATGAATTAGACAGTTTTGAAATCATTATAATTTTTATTATTAATAAATTATATTTATATTATATATAATTTTTAATTATGGTATTTATTATTATTATTATTATTATTATTATTATTATTATTTTTATTTTATGTATTATTTATTTATTATATATTTATTTTTTATTTATGTATTATTATTTAGAGATTATTATTTATTAATTATATATGTGTAATATTTCAGAAGAAAGTCTGTAAATACGTCAAGGTCTATATGGGGATCAGAAGTATGACATGAGGTCACGGATGACAGTCTCCTATGATCAATTTTGAAATCCACTCACTTTCCAAGCGGAGACAAAATTGCAGATCTTATATTTTTTTAGATCAATAATGCGAAATTGATCAAGAACTAGTTAAGAACAATTGAACTTTGTCATTC